CTCTTTTGGTCCACTCTCACTCTCTTAATCCACTGTTGACGTAACTCTGATGTTTAAAATCATTGTTGTGATCAAGCAGCCAGTTATACCACCTATAGTTAGCAACTGGAGACAAATACTATTTAAAATTCTGTCACACTAAACCTAAAATAAGCTGTTGTTATCATACTAAATCTACATAATCCTGCCAACAGACAGACAGAGAATCTTCCTGCAGCTAATTCTGAAGCACAGCGATGCTTCTTCCTTCATCTTCTCCAGAGCTGACATTGAAGTGGGATCACAGGAGGAGATATTTTTAGATCCAGGCGCACAGATTTAATAAAATACTCTGACAAAGGTTCTCAGAGTGAATTTAAACACACTCGACCGTGTTCCAGGAGCTGTTGGAGCATAAATATGTAACAAGGAAAGTGGGTAATTTTTCATTATGCACGACGAGCTATCTTTAGAGCAAATGCATAATTTAGTCAATCCTCTCTCCTCCACTTTTATCACAGCGCTCAGACTTCCATCAGCACGCTTCACAGCCTCCTGGTTAATACGGGACTGAGTGGAAGTAAAAGGAGGTGAGTGCACCTGATTTAAGGAAATGAAAAATTAAACATCACCACATATATCCTCTAATCCCCAAACAGGATTTACGAGTGATGACATGTCCCTTCACACACCTCGACATGTCATCAAATTAAAGAAGATTAACTTCTTTAACTTAAAATATGAAACCAAAAAAAAACAGAAATCTGACGACACAAGGCCCCAGTAATGTTGTTTAAACTATATTTAGGTTGTTCTGAACCAATTCATTAAGGTATATTTCATTTCTACTGTGTTTAATGCAGAAAAGCTTTGAGTTATTTCGTTTAATTTAACTCTGTATAGAAACAGCACGACCATGACAAGAAGGAGAGAGAACTCAGAATTATCTTCTGTGCAGCATGATGCAGTCAGAATGACGGAAATCATGAAAATGAAGAAAAAAATAAATAATTTGAGCAAATAAATAGTCAAAAAACCTACAATCAACACGTCCAACATATTTCAAAGTGTCCACATGGGATATTGACTGGAAAACATGGTGGCTGTACACGTTATACACTCGAAATAAAAATATTCTCATTTTTTTTGAGTTACGAGAACTTTTATTGAAATTATTTNACAAATACTGAAAACCGCCGAAGAGGAGACAAGTTAAAAGATCGCACCGTCTGGATGCTGGAATAGAAGAAACGCTGAAAGAAATCAAGTTAATGTCAAGAAACAGCTGTAGAGCACATAACTATAATCGCTCAAAAGATCTTATGAGCATTTACTTTGACATGTGCGTCACCACATGAAAACATTAGTCAATTCAAAATGGCAGCCATTTTTGTAACACACTGTCAACTATTGGCATCAAATATTGGACTTTTAACTGCAATTTTTACGACATCAACACTGTATTATTCATATTTGTTACAGATTTTGGCAACACAAAGCATCTATGAACCATTTAAACACAGTAAAATCTCATTAATTGTAAGTATTAATGGACTCGCAGATTTAAATGAAGTTAGAATTACTTTCATTAATTTACTTGAGTCGGCAAGAAAACATTTATTTAATCACATTTTTTACAAGAAGGAACTGAATTCAATACTTTTTAACACTTTTTTTTAACATCTCCAGACATCTTAGCGTCTCAATAACAACACCATGGTTGTGTAAAATAATAGTTTTTGGGTGTATTTTATAAACATCAGTGGGCAAAATGTTGTTATTAGTTTTCACTTATTCTAACTTATATTTTTCCAATTGTCTCATTCACAGGGTGGCATCAGATTAGAACACACAGAACATGTAAACAAATGAGGATCCACTTTCTTCTCATGGTGAAAAGCTTTAATTGTACGATATGATGTTCCTCTAAATTACTTTCTGGTTCATGAGGAGAAAAAAAAAAGAATAAAAATATTCCATGAAACCTTGAAATGAACAGAAACTCACAAGCATCAAAAACTGGAATAAAAAACACAGTTAAAAGCCAGTCAGTAGACCCCCAACACCAGTTCAATTTCTTTTTTTTTAAATGCACATGTACCGATTTAACTGTTCAAATCAGTATGAAGTAGTCTGAAAAGCAAGCTGTGAGGATAAAGGTGAAATAAAATAAGAATAATTTACATTAAAGGGACCATTTGCCTGCTGTCAGATGTGAATACAGATGTTTGTTTCATCTCTGTGCATCTGAAAAACAGCCCACGATGTGCTCAGTTTTGCTTAACATGTAGAGGTCCAGACTAGCATCGGATTAAAACATAAACAATTTAAGATTGCACCGGCAAGAAAGACAGAATCAAAACCCGAAGAAAACAAGACAAAGTGAACAAAGAGCGACGTCTTACCTCCATCAGCAGGTGAAGAGCGACGCCCGGCTCGTCACACAGCACCC